TCCTCATGATCACTCAGGGTACTCCTCAGAGAGCCAGTTTAAGTTTGGGCTGGCCAGATGCAGTGGCTCACAGCTATAATCCCAGCACTGTGGGAGGCTGAGGCAGGAGGATAGCCTGACCCAGGAGTTCAAGACAAGCCTGGGCAACATAGCGAGACCCCGTCTCTACAAAAATAATAATAAGCATTAAGTTTGGGTTGCATGTCAGTGCCTCCTCTTCTCCCCTTGGTACAGAAATGCGCCCACACTGGTTCCAGCTGGACCAGATCCCCTTCAAGGACATGTGGCCAGATGACAGCTACTGGTTTCCACTCCTGCTTCAGAAGAAGAAATTCCATGGGTACTTCAAGTTCCAGGGTCAAGACACCATCCTGGACTACACTCTCCGAGAGGTGGACGCAGTCTAGCGGGAGCCCGGGGAGCCCCTGGGCAGAAGACTTGGCTGCTGAACAGCTGCACACTGTTCACCTGGGCGCAGCAAGTGGATCAGAGCTGGGTTTTGTCTTTAGTGTGATTGGACGGAAAGGAAAATAAAAGTCTTCATTTTTTTTTTTTTTTGAGATGGGAGTCTCGTTCTATTGCCTCTGTTGCCCAGGCTGGAGTACAGTGATGTGATCTCGGCTCACTTCAACCTCCGCCTCCCAGGTTCAAATGATCCTCCCATCCATCTCAGCCTCTTAAGTAGGTGGGATTACAGGCGCACACTGCCACACCCGACTAGTACTTGTATTTTTAGTAGATACAGGGTTTCACCATGTCGACCTGGCTGGTCTTGAACTCCTGACCTCACATGATCCACCCACGTCAGCTTCCCAAAGTGCTGGGATTACACGAATGAGCCACCAAGCCCTGCCGGTCTCTTTTTAAACATCCTTCCAGATACCAGCACAGCCTGCCAGGTTCTGCCAACGGGAAGCTGCCGGATGTGCTGGGCTGTGACCCGCACTGCTACACAGAAGTGGGAGAGGACAGAGACTGTCCCGGAGGTGGGCAGCTGATGGAGGGCAGGACACACATGCTCAGTGCCACTAGCTGGAGGTGTGTCCCCTCAAAACTCCCCTGCAGTGTGAGAAACTGAGGCTAAAGCCCAGGCCGAATGCCTCATAGGCTCGTCCCCCTCCCCTGCCCAATTTTCATACACACGTTTAATAAAAGTTGTTTGCACACAGTTATCCATAAACTATCCAAAGTGTAGGTTGTGTGTAAACAATTCCAGTTTATTGGGTGTATTGGGTATTGATCCCGGCAGCCTCCTAAAGTGCTCTGGACATGAACTGACCCCCAGAGCAAGAGCAAAGGCCTCAGGTGCACAGAGCCACCCTGACATCCCTCAGCTCGGAGTCCCCGTGCCCGTCAGAGCCCTATACCCGTCTCCCCTGTCTGTGCTGCCTCTATGGCAGACAGAGGGCAGCTCTCTGCATGGTGACCCCGAGTCCACAGGACAGGAGGATCCAGTGAGGATGTTCCCTTTCACTGTGATCTGCAGCCCCCTCCCATGGCCCCACCAGCCGCCTGTCCTCCCAGGGCAGGCAGCATCTGCAATCTCCACCCACATCACGTGCAGCTGTCCCTGCCAGCTGGGCAAGGCTGCAATGCCCAGCACAGACTTGGGCTTGGGCCATGGGCAGCAGGAGGGCTGGAGAGACGTGGGGAACCCCACTCTCCCAGCACGGGGCCTCCACCTGCAGCAGGAAGCAGCCTCTCATCCCCCAGGTCAGCCCCTGGGCCTGGGTACCTGCCAAGGCAGCACAGGGCTAGGGCTAGGGCCAAGAAGTAATTCTAAGAAGGAAGGTGGCCTCTGCCATCCCCTGCCTTGCAGGCCTCTACTGCCCTTGAGAAGGCACTGGGTGGTAGGAGGAGGGAAGGAGGGAAGTGTTCCAAAGCCAGTGTCCACCCCTCCACAGAGCCAACGCCAGGGCATGCAGGAAGTGACCAGTCACACGTAGGAGACAGGCTGCCCTCCTCACCCCTACCTCCCCTCACCTCTGCCCTCCTACTTCCCCTCACCCCTGTTCCCCTGCTCCCTCCTCACCGCTGCCCTCCTGCTCCCTACTCACTCCTGCCCTCCTGATCCCTCCTCACCCCTGCCCTCCTGCTCCCCCGCGACTCCTGCCCTCCTGCTCCCCCGCGACTCCTGCCCTCCTGATCCCTCACCCCTGCCCTCCTGCTCCCCCCCCCGCCTCCCCTCCTGTCTCCCACGCGCCCCCACCCTCCTGTTTCTCCTCACCCTGCCCTCCTGCTCCCCCCTCACCCCTGCTCTCCTGTTCCCTCCTCACCCCTGCCTTTCTGCTTCATCCTCACCCCTGCTCTCCTCCTTTCTACCTCCATCCTCAGCCTCTGGACACAAGGACCCCAAGACCCTGGTCCTGAAATTTCCACCACAGGGAGATGCTGCCAGGCATGTGGCCTCCTATCATACTCACTGACCCGAGTCCCTGCCAGGAACGCTCCTTCAGAAATGCTCATTTTGAGTCTTGCTCTCTCCTTGGAGGGCTGTATTGGGAGCGCATGCCTTCCCTACCCTGGAGACATGAGGCCCCAGCGCCTGATGCCCACCATGACTCTGCCCACAGCCTCTGTGGTCCTGCAGCTGGACAGGCCCCAGGCAGGTGCAAGCAGACGGCGAGGCCTTGCAGCCTTCTGCCCACACAGGGTCATGCTGCATGGCTTAGTTGTCACAGCACCACTCATGGAAACTGAGAATCTGACTCTGCAGAGGGGGTCAGATTCGCAGCACAACCCAAGACTTGGGTGGGCTAGGGACTCACAGGATAGCCCACCCATCCGGCTCCAAAGGGAACGCTGCCCTCTGCTCCTCTGGCCAGAATGGAGCAGCCCACCTCGCAGCAGAAAGGCACAGGCAGAACCCACAGGGCAGGGCAGGGTCTGAGTACTGCAGCCACTCCCTCTGGCCGGCTCACAGTGAATGATGGATCACCTGCTTGTGGGGCACAAACAGGAGTCTCCTTCTCCATCCTAGGGCCATGAGATCCCCGTGGGTGCAGGAAGAAGGGAAGCAAACTCTGAGTGGAGGGAATGCCCGGGGGCCAAAGAGCATCCAGAGAACGGAGGGACCTCGGAAACCCTGGGACCCAGGATCCTCTTCCAGCACCTCTCCCCACAGGGAGAGCCTCAGGCTCTGGAGAAGCGCAGGGGTCCGGGAGGCCCCCAAGCTCCATGTGCCTTCCGCAAAAGGGGTTTGGGGCAGGACAGACCCAGGCCTGAGGCAGACATTCCAGCCCCACAGAACTCAGGAGAATGGCTTCTTAATCCAGAGAAGGGAAGGGTCCCCTCTGTGCGGGTGGCTGGGCCGGCAAGTGCATGGCGGGAGGCTGAGGGGGGACTCTAATTGCCTCAGAGAAGGAAATCCATCTAAAAGGGGGCTATCCCTCCTCTAAAGCCCCAGCTGGAATGGAACACATCCCCCATTCCCCCACCTGTCCTCTGCCGGCCCATCCAGCCTCAGTGTCACACAGTGAAGACCCCGACACTGGCCACCAGAAATGAAAGGAGTCCAGGGGACAGGAACAGAGCCACTGTAGCGCCCACTCTCAGAGCCCCAGCTCTCTGTCATGCCTTTGTCTTCCAGGCCTGAGACCACAGGCACACACAGCGTCATGGTGTGGGCACAGGGCACACACGGGGTCATGGTGTGAGCAGGAGGACATGGGACCACTGGATCCTGGAGGCCACTCTCAGACCAGGGCTCCTGGTGTTCACTGCAGCGAGTCCCCTAGAAAATTCACAGTGCACCCCCCATGCCCGATGGCCAGCCCTCCCGGCCTTGCCACCACAAAGAGCCATGACAGCGTCCATACCATCGGCTCATTGGCTGTCCCCTTGCTGTCCATGGCCAGTCCCATGCCTGGCTGCAGGGCGGCCCTGCCCTCCTTCTCTCCTCCGCTGACCAGCACCATGAGGCTGCCCCTCCTGACTGTTCCAGCATCTGGAGGCCC